CGAGCTTCTTCTCCATCTACTCGAGAGTGGTCACCCTCATCGTCCAAGCGAGGAGGCGACTGCTGTTGTGTACCGGCGGAAGGTGGAGTGGACTCGCCAATGGTTGGTGCCGCCGTGCTTGATGAACCACCAGAACCCCCACTAACGTCGACATCGCCGGCGGATGACGCGCTTCTAGCATCCACACTGCTTCCCTCCCCACTTTGGTCTTCACTCACCCGTGGCCGCTTTGATGATGGCTGGGCTTGCGGGTGCCGGGAAAACATTCTTGCGAACGCGGCCGCCTGGTTCTTCTGCGCAGCTATCCTCTCCTCTCCGCATTTGTTTTCCGACCCGCTTTTTGTGTGCCATCCTTGGGTTCCGATCCTGGATTTCGCCCCATGGGGAGCGCTGGCTCCACGGTTGCTGTGGGAGGGCTGTTGTGCTTGCCGTTGTGGTCTGTGTTGGGTGTTGTCATCATGTGTTGTTATGTGCCTCGGCGGCAGCGGCCCAATTCGGGTGCTTTGGCCCAATCACAGGTCGTCGTTTTTCATGGTCTCGGGGTCGTTTTTCATCTCGGGATGTGCTGTTGACCAATAACATTGCGTCGTTTTTCACTTTTGTTGCCCTGTGCCCAATCATGATGCTCGCGGGACTGTAATCCGTCTTCATCAACAGAGCCCCCGTACGCTTCATATCTTAGCCGCCGCGCCCCTGGGCGTACAAGGGTAGAACAAGAAAAGGGAGATGGACATGACCGCACACGCCACCCACCACGCACCACGCACCGTAAGTGCCGTGTAATGTCGATGTTTAGCACTGTATGCCACAGCTTGCCGTCCCGCCGACGGGAACCGATGTTTTGATGCGGTTCGGATTGTCGGGAAAGCATGTTGAGGTCTACCACAACCAGCAAAACTGCTTCGACCCAGCCGGCCGCTAGAGGGTAAAGTAGACCTCAACAGGACAGCAGGTCAAGGCACACACTCGGGAGTAACCGGGCGCAACCTTTCCTCGGCATCGCAATTTCAGGTGAAAGCTGCCTCGCATAGACATTCACCGGCGCACTCACACCCGGACGCACGGAATACAGCAACAGCCGTCATGTAGAAGTACAAAGTTGTCCGAAGGCAACGAGAGACCCGCATGGCAGCAGAACAGCAGTCAGTCTCTGTTGGTGCGTGTAGCATAGTCACGCTCGTATGCTTGCACGCTTGCGCACATAGGCGTCTCTCACATCGCTTCGCGCACGCGTGCTTTTCTTCGCGCGTTTGCGCAAAGCTTGTACGAAGAGAAGTGATAGTTTCTGTTTGTCGCGTAAGATACCACACCCGTGGTATCTCATGCTGTATGAAGCCCCAAGTCTCTGTGCTACGTGCGACGCGTTTGTGCATTCGCAACATGTATCCCCTGCCTGTATTTGTCTAGTTCCACCTATATGTATGGCACCACGACCATTATGACCGTGATCATTGCTGTTTGTATAGTATGACTGCTGATGATCCGGCGTTGTGTTGTACACCCCTCTATAATAGTATCCTACAGCTGTAGTCCTTGGCATATACCTCGTCTTACGTGTAGATCAGGTTTCTTCCATGGCTTGTACCCGCTGTTAGCTTGTGTAATTTCGATGGAAGAAGTGAGTGGATGAAGCCGCCGCGTGGTATTGCCTTTTCGAACTCTGTTCAACTACATATATGCGTTGTAACAAGAGCGGTGCGGATGATGAGATATCTATGTCCTGTAGGGAGTGCAGATGTGGTCTTACCCATCCAACGCTCCCTATTGTTCTCGGTCTGGTGCGTTCTTTTTGTGTTTGTTGTAGTTTAGTAGCGTGCCAGGGACATGGCCAGGCGAGTCACCAAGGCGCACATGGCGTCGACACGCCAGGACCTGTCCGGGAGGAGGATCGGCTACACGAGGACTTCGTGGCGCAGGTGATAATTTGTTTCCGTTGATATGCCCTCAGCTACTGGTGTCCGTAACTTTTTTTTATTTTCACACCATTATACACAATTGCAGGTCAAACCCATCTCTTGTTCCGCGTCCCCACGAGACAAAGTCGTGTATTAGTACACGTGAAGAAATACAGAGATTCGCCCTCCTGACGTTGAAGAGTACACTCCCGCGTGCAGCAGGAAAACAATCAAGGGTTTACTCGATATGAATACCGCCGTGGTGGGCGGTACCGGTATAAGTTTTACCGCCATTTTTCGGTTGTACCGCCACCGCCAAAGTCGATACCGCCGAACAACGCAGATACCGCCAACTGCCAAAACCATACCGCCGTATGGCGTTACCACCGAAAAAATGCCGCCATTTTATTGTTTTACGGCCACCGCCAAAGTCGATACCGCCGAAAAAAGCATTACCGCCGACCGCCCAAACTGTTACCGCCATATGACAGTACCGCCGAAAAATTACCATACAGGTAAACTAGCGCCTACCAACGGGCGAGTGGGTAGATACCTTGTCTGATGCAAAGTACAGTCCAAGCGAATGTAAAGAATTCGAGTCCAGACGTGACTTGTTTCTTTTTCATGTGTCATTTTTCGTTCTGTATTCGTTTTTTTGTTCTCGTCTTTTTCTGTTTTTATGTTGTGAATGCCAGACTGTCGAAGATTGTCACGTTAGATGACCTCTCGGAGATCTACCTTAGGGGTGTTGCCACAAATAGAGTCAGTGCATGCTGCAGCAGGCTCGCTCTCCCCTGACTCACAACACAACTATCCGTACTCTTCAGTCCCTCCCACAAGAGGTTGAACCGGTGTGTATCCATACCACACATCCTCAAGAGAACTTGTCCACACGCGAACCTGGAGACATCAGTCTTATATGTTTTATGTTGGAATGTGAAAGTCACCGGTAAAAATGACAGAACCATGCAAGAACATGGCCAATCTATGGAAAAGAGGGTTGTCATCTGTTCGGGCGCCTTTGTTTGGTGTCGCTTGAAGTTGTGACCAATTGCAATCATTACCGCCGTTGAAATACCGCCGTGGTGGTCGGTATACCGGTATCCCGCCGTTTTTCGGTTGTACCGTCACCGCCAAAGTCGCTATCGCCGAAAAACGCATGACCGCCGACCGCCAAAACAGGCACCGCCATATATATGGCTATTACCGCCGAAAAATTACCGCCATTTTTTTCGTACCGCCACCGCCAAAGTCGATACCGCCAAAACATATACCGCCAAACAGCAATACCGCCGAAAACGTGTCCGCCTAAAAAACACGTACCGGGTAAACCCTTCGAACATAGTGAGACGATACGACTATACGACCGCCGGAGCATGTACACAACATTTCGATTGCATGGCAGGTAAATAGTACCGGTAGGAAGCAGCAGAATGATATACGCACTACACCGCTCCACATGTCTCCACATGCACACCTTCAGCAGCACCTTTCTTTCCCCCGCTGCCTGCTGACGTCATGTTGTACACCAGGTCGTCACGCCGGCTCTACTGCACGCCGCGGACGACATCGCCGCCCACCCGGTCAACGATAATGGCAAACACGAGAGCATCGTGTGCAAGTGCACGAGGAAGGCGAGGGCGTGGGGCAGGCTTTCCAACGGTGGATACAGCATCACCAACGCTATGGCATATTCCATGCGAGATGAGTTTTCCCGAACCGACCTTGCCACAACCTCAACTGCAAGGGGGAGTATGTCTCCATGTGAGCTACATGGCGGGCAGTTCTGCTGTTTACCAAATTTGACACGTGGTGGAATGAGCTTTTTCTCTGCGGTTGAGCATCAAGTCAAGTACAGCATACTCGCTGTTTGGCTGGCCGTCGATGCCGAATCTGGGTGTGATTTTCTGCGTTGCATTGTCGCACGGTTGTTCCCGATTTTGACTAGCGATCGTTTGAGGTTGTCAGCAATACGTGCACGTCGAGAGCCGGCGGTTCTGCTGGTTTGAAGGAGCTGGCAAGGTATGCGTGACAGCACGCATGCAGTGAGTGCCCCCCGCCCCTCTTGATCTGCTACTGCAAAGTATTGCTTCGTGCAGATGCAGTTTAGGCCAGACGTGTTCCGTCTTCTTCTGCACGTTTCGGAATTCCCCGACTAGAGTCGCCCCGGGCGTGATATTTTCGTTTTATCAGACCCTATCCCCCCCCCAGTGTTTGCCATCGGGGTTGGGTTTTCGTCGCTTGGCAACGACGTTGTAAAACAAGCC